ACGGAAAATCAATTAAATAAACGGAGACGTAACAGACCTTTTACAATACCAAAGCTAATCAGGCCGCCTGGGTTAGAAAATAATACAAAAATGTTAGTTGAAACACTACTTTATAAGACAAAATATAAAAAAGACAAAACAACGTATATTTATGCTTTTAAGAAATTCATTTTTGTGGACTATGTTTTTAATTTAAATGTTTCTATTGTTGTTTGGCCAGAGGGAGGTTAGCGTAATTTAATGAAAGTGTAACTTAACGGCCTTAATTTTCCCCAAAGCTGTAAAACATTTTGAACAAAATAAGATACAAAATACGCTGGAGTATGTGATTATTGATTAGGACTGTAAGGAAAAAATACACGAAATGCTCTTTACCTTAAATAATTTTATTTTAATTGTGAGCTTTCTGCCCTCTTACTGGAGCCTTTATTGGGTAAGAAAGTACGTACCACGAGAAATTTGTTTATCTGTGGAATGCTTTTTAAAGACAGTTGTCTAAGCAACAATCCTAAAAATATCTCACATCTGGTTAACCAAGTTAATGAAGTCGTTAATCATGTAGAAAATGTTGAAAACGATTGATGTCAATAACAGAATTAGTAGGTAAAAATTTAAACTTTTACATAAGTTGGAGAATCGAAACCTCGACCTTTGTAGCTATATAATAATGTAAACATTTTATACATTCTACTACAAAGCTGTTATAAAACAGTTACTCTATTATTAAGTGAACTGAACTTTGTATTATTATTTTTTAACGAATAATTAAGTATAAAACAACAGAAACCATTACAACAGAATTCATGAATAGGCAGATACTGAATAACTGATTGCAAATCAGGCATAAATCAGGTATATGGTGATGCTTTACTATAATCATATATATAAAATTATGTAATGGAAATTAAAGAATTCAAATCACATAATTATTTAGAAAGCTAAATATTCCATGCTTATTTATGACAATAAGACTATGGGTAGTGTCAATATAGCTCTCATTTATATATTAACATGCCTTGTGAGATATTCATATAATTTCAATTTCATTTTATACCCTAGTTGACGCCATATGTCATCAATCCAGTATGTGAAGTATTTGTCGATTTAGGGTAAAGACAAAGTGGAAAAGCTTCCTATTGAATTTTATGTCATGCAGTTTTCAAATCACACTATATTTTAATGTTTACAATGAAAATAAAAATGCCATCCTACATTTCTTAAAGGATACAAATGTAGCAAACTTTGTAACTGAACAATTGACTATTGTCAATTCTCTTTGGCTTGATAAAAGTTGAATTGTTTGTGAATATTCAGTCAGCAGTGTTACTTTGTGTGTGTCTTTTTTACACAGCTACATATAAGTGTATTAAGTTTCCCTATGGAGAGCAAGCCATCACACACTGAACACTTAATAGTTGTCAACCTTTCCCTTTTGATAAAATGCAGTTTTCCACATCGGTTTTGTAGTTCTACATTCATTTCAAAATAATGAATACTTAGCCAATCTCAAGTTACATAAGTTAGGTCACGTGAAATCCAGTGAATATGTTATATGCTTATACTGATATAAAGTATGTAGTATGGGATCGTATTATGTATTTTCTACTCCATTAGTTAATGTGTAATTTTTTTAATTATAGTATTTTTCATCATTCTCAGTTTGGACATAGTGAGGCACTCAAGTAAAATACTCAACTTTCCCTTTCACTAGAAGTGCATTGTGGGTGTGTATGCAATATGCTGGCATTCGTAGTGTTACGACAGCGGAAGTCGTGCGACGATGGGAGCATGCGATGGAGATCTAGAAAGATCGAGGAACCTGTCGAACGTCCTAGCGTTTGCTAGATGCACGCTTTTATTGTATATAAGTCGGCAAATAAAGTGACGGCAATAAATGAATTGCAGACAGGGAGATACAGAGACAGATAAAGTAGGTAGAGTGCGTGAATCGTTGTGAATTCTAGCGTGTGTGTAAGTTAAAGTGACTGTGGAAATTAAGTGTATTACAAAGTTTGTAACAAGAAAGAATAAACTAGTTTTAATTAAGAAAGAACTTGTATCGCCGAAGTTTCTCGAAAAGAATTTTTACGGGAAATTAACAAACGAGCAGATACGTAACAAATTGGTGTCAGAGAGTGGGACAGAAAAAAAAAAGAAGAAGATGGAAACGAGAAGTGGCAAATCAAACTACAGCTTAGCAGATTTGATGGCAGCAATACAAGAACAGCAAAAGAAACAAGAAGAATTAGAAAAGAAACAAGAAGAACGAGAAAAGAAACAAGAAGAACGAGAAAAGAAATAAGAATAGATATTACAGCACTAGCAAGAAAACCTGCAACAGTGGCAGCTCGAACAGCAAAATAAACAAGAGAGATTACAGCAGTTGTTGGAGGAAAAATAAAAGAAACAAGAAGAGAGATTACAACAGCTATTGGAGGAAAAGAAAAGAAACAAGAATAGAGACTACAGCAGTGGTTGGAGGAGAAAAAAATGAACAAGAAGAGAAATTACAGCAGAAAGGAAACAATAAGTACAAATGGAAAGGCTTAGTAAATTTCAAAGTGAATTAAATACATTAAAGGATGATTTACTGTCTTTTACACAAGAAGAATATATCAGCCATGGACCTAATCAGCCTCAGACAACGGAAAGCCCCTTCCAGACCCGGCAGCTAAACCCTAATGCAGACATCTTCAGTCCTATCAGAAATCACATTCCAGACATGAGTGTCAGCAATATGGGTGGTCTAGTACGAAAGAAGCCACAGGAATTCTATGGGAAGGCACCATGGGAAGCATATAGAGCACAATTTGAGCTCCTGGCAGAAATGAATGGATGGAAAGAGGAGCAGAAAGCAGTGTACCTGGCAATGAGCTTGAAAGGACAACCACTGGAAATACTTGGACAGTTGTCAGGAGATGACAGGCATAATTATAGAGCACTGGTAGCTGCTCTAGAATTTAGGTATGGAACTCAAAATCAGTCCAAAGTCTACTGGGCTAGGTTTAGGACCAGAGTCCATGC